GGCTGAGAGAGTTGGGGTTGTTCAGCCTGGAGAAGAGAAGGCTCCAGGGAGACCTTATAGCAGCCTTCCAATATCTGAAGGGAGCCTAAAGGAGAGATGAGGAGGGACTCTTTGCCAGGAAGTGCAGTGACAGGACAAGGGGTAATGGTTTTAAACTGAAAGAGGGGAGATTCAGATTAGATACTAGAAAGAAATTCTTTCCTGTGAGGGTGGTGAGACACTGGAACAGGTTGCCCAGAGAAGCTGTGGCTGCCCCATCCCTGGAGGGGTTCAAGGCCAGGCTGGATGGGGCTTTGAGCAACCTGGTCTGGTGGGAGGTGTCTCTGCCCATGGCAGGGGGTTGGAACTCAATGATCTCTAAGGTCTCTTCCAATTCTAACCATTCTGTGAGTCTAACTGATCTCCAGGGCTGGTGTCAGCACCACTGAGGAACTGAAAGCCTGGGGTAAACACACAGGAAGGGGATGGGCAGGAGAAAGAGGAAATCCTCTGTTGGATGTTCTGGGTTCAACTTGTTCAAAATACATTGCAAGAGTCATTTGAATGTGCTGTTACGGCACAGCAGAGCATGCAAATGGGAGTCAAACTACATTTTTGTAACTACAGACCTCCTGTTGCAAAAGATGTGCTAAACTCTGTGAAAGCTAGAGAGAAGCACTGCAGCCCACGAGGGGTGAAGGAAAACTTGCCTTTTAAGCAACTCTCCTGCTGTATTGCTGGCATGGCACTTTGTCTTCCTTTTTATGTCTTGTGAGGTCTTTGCTCTGTCACTGATTTCCAGCTGCGCTTGCCCCGGCTGCAGGAGGGATTGCAGCAGCTCTGCAGGCACCAGCGGAGAAGCATCGGGCCATATTGAGGTGAACCTTAAGCCAGTTTCTCTTGGGATACCGATACGGATGGCCTGAGTGATGGTTTCTGCTAGGCAAGTGGTGGAGATCAGGATTGCCACTTGGCCTGACTGGGAGTGCTTGCCTCCTCTGAAAAGCTTCCACTAAATTTCCTTGTAGGCAGTTCCCATCCTTCTGCCATGACACTTACCAGTGTGTCTGAAAAAGTCTTAGAGCCATACTGCTTCAACTGTCTTCATTAGTAATTATGTGTTGTGTTTGGGGCTTTTTCTCCCCATTTTCCTGGAAAAAAGTAATTTTTCAGTCTTTATACTGTTGTAGCATTACTCTCTTCCTACTTCTGTTTTTTCTTTTCCCATGTTTCTCTTTTTTTCCCCAACATCATTCTGTCATTTCTGTCTCTAGCTTTGTCTTCAGGACTGTCAGTGGTATAAGCTGTTTGGTTCATCTCTTGATTTAGATCTCTGTGCAGCAACCTTTCTTCTTTCCTTTCCAGAAAAAAGAAGTCCAAGCACCTTTTATAATCTTTCATAATCTAATTATCATTTGTAATCTACTTGTGCTAGCTTATTAGGGAACATGCACCCAGAAATGCATACCCCCAGCCTCTTGAATAGGTATGAAGTCCCAACCTGACAGTACCAACGTGGTCTTCACAGTGTTTTAAGAAGCCTGTGCCTCCTTAAAGGATGGCTTTGTACTTCTACAGATGGCCAGCAAGACCCTTCTATCCAGAGCATGTATTATGTGTAGGTGTGATCCAACTTTAGAGCCCACTACCACTGTTTACCTTGTCTGATTTAAAATGGTGACCTCAACCTCACTTGAAATGGGTTAGTTTCTACCCTGAAAATGGTCAGCGTGGAGCGTTTGCTACCCCTATGTCTGCTGCTCTGTGATGTTGCTGTGACATTTTCTGGTCAAGTTTTATTTCTGTTGTACGCAGGAGGTTTATCTGTGCTGTGCAGTAGCACATATAGAGGGTTTTTGAGCTAGCATTGACCCTCCTGGTAAATCCTCCTGTTTTGGTGAAGCGGAGTGAGGACTTGTCTGCATGTGTGGAGAGGAAACCAAGGCTTGGTATTGTGTGGGTGTAGTGCTAAGGCAACAGCTCTTGTTCCAGGGTTTCTGTGCTGTGCTCCTTGGTGTCGACATGCCCCGAATGCTCTGTCCGCACAGAAAGTGAAACTCAAGAAATTTAGCTTTGGGAAGGTGCTGCAAGCTTTGAAGAACCAACTTCAGCAGAGCCAGCACCAGCAGAAAGGAGATTTGGCTGGTGGAGTGAACAAGCGGGGAAAAAAGGTGCTTCAGGTAAGATCTTTCTGCTCTCGATGGAGCATTTGAGCAAGTCTGGGGGCATTGGGTACAAGTTTCAGAAAATGCAAAATTCAGCATTTGAATAGCTTATTTGAATCAGAGACAGGAACAGTATTGTCTTCTGTAATGTATTTGACTATGAACAATGGCAGTCTTCTCCTGCTAGGTTTAGGTGGTTGAAAAGTCCTTGATCCTGACTCCTGCAATAAAAGCAAGGTGCTTGGTATGGTATGACACAGGACGGAAGTAACAGAATACAGTTTCAGTGATGGGACTATATTTTGTTTGTTACACATTCTGTATCTTGTCATGCTGATATGGAGATTATGTGCTTTTCTAGGGGCTGTAATTGTCTTTACCGCATTAGTTATCATCCTTTGCATTCTTACTTGGTTGTTTTTCCTCCGTTTAGCTCTGTGCTTCTACAGCTCTCTGTTTATCTCTCAGCTTCAACCCCAGTTCTGGCTTCTTAAGGATTTCAACCTCCTCTCCTACACTTTTTCTCATATGGTTTGTGTTGTCCGCAGAGCTCCCTGTGTGTGCCCAACAATCGAGCAGTCTCACTCGTATAAAAAGTGTCTTTTTTGCACAATGCTTAGTTTTATGGGATTCAAATGTAAGTTCATTGTGGACTCACTACAGTTCTCCTTAAACCAACATCATGAACACTGATTTGCGTTCCTATTTCCGTGAATCTGTGATTTATTCTTTGTTCTTGCTTGGAAAATTAGCTGCATGGTCCATGAGTGCTAAAATCACGTATAAACAGTGGGGCTTGTGCACAGTCTAAGATGTTTTTATTTAGGTACAGTGTAATCACGTGGCCTGCCTGTGAGCTGTGAATTTGATATTTTAAGTTACAAAGGTTCTAAGCTTTAATGAGCAGCCAGTATGGTCATAATAATAGTACTGTGAAATTCTTGCAGTCTGCGGTATGAAGGTGAAAATAATTCTTGTTGTAGAGCTCCAGTTTACCGTGAGTCTAAATCTGCCCAAATTACCACGCGTGCTGGCCAGTTCGTTAAGGTCTGTGTCCTGCACTTTTTTTATAAAGTCCTGGCCCGAGTCTCTCAAAGTCTGTAGAGCTCCAGCAAGTTGTGAGTGCTCTCTTAACAGGCTCAGAGCCTGGTTTGGTGGAACTGGCTGTGGTTGTAACTGCTATGTCTTCATCCGCTACCAATTGCGAGGCTCTTGACCACTAAGCAGGGCTAGAAACAACAGAAAATAGTAGATGATGTGCAATCCAGTAATGATACATTGTGAGTACAGCCGTGTTGGTTGTTTATAGAGGGAGAAAACAAGAAATGTCAAGGCAAAGTCAAAGTAGTAGCAGAATTCAAAGTATTAATTGGTTTCTGAAAATGAAATAAATTAACATAATCGGCAAATGCAACATGCTGCTTCAAGTCAGTCCTCCACTCAGAACTTCTGTCTGGTGTAGAATAACTTCTCTCAAGTTTAAAAGAACTTTAATCAAGGTAATATTGTTGCATAACTGCTGTCCCGATGATGTGGGGACTCTGTGATTGTTCTTGCCCTCGAGAAAGATCACCTGCAAAGACATACGTGGTCTCCAGTTCTTCCTTTCAATGTCTGAAGCAGGAACAATCAAGTGAACCGTCACACCAGCGATTCGAAACCCTTCCTCAAAAGAGAGCTTCCAGATCCCCGCTTTCACTCCTCTCTGAAAATGGAAAGAACGTAAAATATTTTTAATTTTTGTTAACTTTAGAGAAACTTCACATTCACGCTCATGTGCGCAACAAATGTGAAAAGCAAGCTTAGAAACTTGGACATGAATTCTTACTCCATGTTCATTCAGTGATGTATTTCCTTTTACTGTCAGCCCAGCTTGAGAAAGTAGATTCATGGGACTTGAGTTAAAGTGTGTTTTTGTGTTTATGTGCCAGGCTTTCGGACCAGAATCAGAGGCAATTCGCAGTCTTTCAGGGTATGTTTGGTGGGCTTATGCAGACCGTACTCCTAGCTATGCCAAAAACCCTTAGGACTTAATCTAAAAACCTCCAAAAATTGCTCATGTATGGCTCTTTTAGTTCTATTTATTATGTTTGCAGCAAACTGTTGGTTCAGGCAATATCCTTTGGTGTCCCCGCGTGTATCCCAAATTGCAACAGCTGCTTAGAACAGTTTATTAAGCTGGGTGAGAAATTGACTGGGACGTGCCTGTTCAAAAGAATATAATTAACACAGATTTTAAAATTAAGTAAAATAAATGAGTTATAAATAGACCTCTGTGAAGCACCAGAACCTGGAGTGCAATCTTACACCCTCGAGGTTAAGGTAGGTTCTACTTCCACCAGTGAGAACAAGACAAGGTGGTTCCTCACAGGAATAGTTACACAGTTTAATGCTGAATGTTCTTCTAGTATCCCTGTAAAGATTAAATAGCACGAAACTTCTTTTTTTTTTTTTTTTGCTACTGTAATTTACTGGCACCCGATTTGACAGTGTCTGATATTTTTTTTATTTTTTTTTTTTGCTTTTCGAGAACTCTTGCAACTTCCTCTTGCGATTTAAGAACACTTGTCCAAGGTTTGCAAACTTCCAGGAGGAAGTGGACACTGAGTAAGAGTGTTTGCCCACATCAGCATGAACGCTTTAACCCTAAATTTTCATCTGAGCGTAGAGTTCATTCTTAAATCCGTATTACATACCCTAGTACCATGGCCTGTGTTTCAAGAGGGTTCCTCTGTGTGTATCTAATGCTGTACAGCTGATGAAACACAGAACAGTCTGCTGGAGAAGTAACTTTTTTTTTGAAACTGAACTACATGCTGGCGTTTGAAGAGGGTGAAAGAAAAATGTTTTTCTCTTGTGAGTTTTTTTTGTAAAATTCAGTGCTTTAGACAGGTGCCCAAGGCACGATATGATGCTATTATAGTAAGAATCCTATGTTTAAGTTGAAAGTTAGGTCATGGGTATGTGTCAGCATTTAAATGTGGATGTGAGAGCTGATGAAGAAACCCTCTGATTAATTGAGCAGGACAGTAAATTCAGCGTGGTGCTAAGTAATATGAGTTACAAAATAACCAGGCTAGTACTGAGTTAGGATCCATGGAGACGGAAGTCATTCTGCACTAAATTAGTCTTAACTGTCTTAACTCATGTCAAAAGTGGGTTGTAGAGTGCATGAAACCAAGTAAGGTTTATAACAATTGATCTACTCCATTGGGAAATTCCACCTGAATTTGAGAGAGCAAAAGCACCGCTCCCTCTTTCCCCCGTTTATTCAACACACTGAAAACAGAAGATAAACGCAAAGGAGAAGTGGTATACTTTCTATCAGGGCTTGTTGGCTGTGAATTTGCTGTCCTCCATCATGTTTTCATTGCTGTGTTGTGATAATTTCCTAATCTCTGAGTTCTGTTTACAGTGTAGCAATGGGCTTGAATTACAGGCACATCTCAAAGCCAGAGATCGCATCTGTAAAAGACTCTTTATTGTCAACAACATATTTAACTAGTTGAAGGCCATGCTCATAAATAATCATCTGCTCCTTTTAGCGATAGTAGCTGTTAATGATTCCTCCTAAAAAATGTCCTGTCAATACATTTGTCTGGGTGTGTGAAGGATGAGCGTTAGGCTGCCTTTCTTGAATCAGATGGAAGGTTTGGAGTATCAGCTGCTACTTGCAAATATACCTTCCTATGTGTCTTCTGGAGGGGGTGGACAGTGTGACAGATTTCAGTTGAAGAGCTACCTGGGGTGCAGCCTGACAATGGTATTAAGGAGAAATCTTAATTTTCCCCAAGCTCAAGCCAGCTGCTGTCTCGTCCCATGTTGTCTTCTGAGGCTCAATGAAACCAGGAGAAGCAAACTCTGATTTCTCTTTTATGTAGCACATAGTAAATGTAGACATTAAGTACTGCAAAGTGGCTCATGCCAGGCCACTGGTTACTCAGTGTAATTTCTTTGTGGGGCTCTGCCTTTGGTTTCAAGTACATGGATGGTTAGGTTGAAATCAACACCTGAGTAAAACCACCATGTGTGTGAAGTAGGGATTTTGGACTCCTCTACTGAGGTAGAAACCCTTGTTCCCACGCCTCTCAACTGCACCTTGTTTTGGGAGGCTGACTCTGTGTGTGTGAAGAAGGGGAGAGAGGGGAGCTGGGTAAGTTACTGTTGGGAGTGAAGAAGGATAGGTGCCAGATCTGTGTCCTCCAAAGGAACTATGTGCAGCTTGTCCTTCTGCCCTTCTGTCGCGTCACTTGTTATGAGGATGATGTCATTTGGGTTACTCCTGGACCTTGCTCCAAGACCTTGCTATTTTTTATGGGTAGTTTCTCACTTTCCTGTGCCACAGTCATTGGTTTAGTCATTAAAAAGGGAGGGGAGAAGGATCTTTGTACTACTGGTAGGCATGGATGTCTGTAAAGCTCAGGGCAAACATCAGACTACTGAAACTTTAGCACACTGCCATTATTGGCCAAAGTCATCAATTTAAAGCTGGAAAAATTGTACGTGAGTCATAAATACACTCAGCTTGGAATGTAGATGTAGTCCTTGGGGTTTCCTAGCTGGAGTGGGACACTTCCTAATCCTTAAGAAAAATTACTGTCCTCTTCAATGTAGTGGTTTGGCCAAATTTTCATCTGGAAATGGGGATTTGGTTATATGGTTCTTTGTCATTAATGACGTTTTTTATTAGTAAAAAAATTGACATTTTTAATTATAGTCTAGGTAACACTTTTAAGTCTGTAAAGCATTTTGGGAACCTTCCCTTTAAGTTGGTTAACATGTCGGTAGAGTTTTTGTCTGCTCCATTTCATACATTTCATATCATCCTTCTGAAGAATTTGATAGAGGTTTGTTCTGTTATGACAAATGAAGATGTTATTTGACCTTTTTCCCCTATCCTCAAAAGATACAGCACAGTGGAAAAAAGTTGAGGAAATGGAAGATGCGGTTGCCTGAGGGCTGGCAAAGTGCATTAATTCATTGTTGATATTGATTCAAAATTCTGGAGGATGCAG